CCATGAGAGCAAGTAGCCCTAACTTGTCCAATTTTTGTCAGAAACACAATTTGGATAAAAATATAAGTGGAGATAAAGCAGTTTTATTACAGATTCATGACTAAAGTTTTAGAATAAAAGCTATAATATCTTTGTTTTTATCTATCTTTACATTTATGTATATTGAGGTTTGTATGATTTGTATACTTGATATTTTTTCCTCATCCAGATGGTATTACTAAACATTAGTCACAAGATTAGAAATTATGGCTTTAGGAGTCATACAGCTGGAGGCTTTAAGATTCTGACCCTCCCTAAATTGCTCCTAAGATCAGTGCTTGAGATATTTTGCAGACCCAGCATTTGACGGATCAGCGGCCCCCACCCAATCGATAAACTGGCTCAACTGATCTTGTAGCCCCCATTCAGGAACTGATTTCAGCTGCAACCCAACCAATCAACACTCTCAACTCACTGGCCTTCCCCTACCCACCAAATTATCCTTAAAAACTCTGATCCCCTCCAGTGGCCAGGCTCACGCCTATAATCTCAGCACTTTGGGAGGCCAAGGCGGGTGGATTACCTGAGGTCAGGGGTTGGAAACCAGCCTGGCCAACACAGGAAACTCTGTCTCTACTAAAAATACAAAAAATTAGCCGGGCGTGGTGGTGCATGCCTGTAATTCCAGCTACTTGGAAGGCTGAGGCAGGAGAATTGCTTGAACCTGGAAGGTGGAGGTTGCAGTGAGCTGAAATCAAGCCATTGCAGTCTCCAGCCTGGGCAACAAGAGTAAAACTCTGTCTCAAAAAAGAAAAACAAAAAAAACAAACTCTGATCCCCAAATGATCGAGGAGACTGATTTGAGTAATAATAAAACTCCAGCCTTTAGCAAGGCTGCCTCTGCATGAATTACTCTTTATTGCAATTCCTTTGTTTTGATACATCAGCTCTATCTAAGCAGCCAGCAAGGTAAACCCATTGGGCCATTACAATGGCTCACATCTGTAATCCTAGCACTTTGGGATGCCAAGGCGGGTGGATCATGAGGTTAGGAGTTCAAGACCAGCCTGGCCAATATGGCGAAACCCTGTCTCTACTAAAAATACAAAAATTAGCAGTGCGTGGTGGCAGGCGCCTGTAATCCCAGCTATTTGGGAGTCTGAGGCAGGAGAATTGCTTGATCCTAGAGGGCAGAAGTTGCAGTGAGCTGAGATTGCACCACTGCACTCCAGCCTGGGCGACTCTGTCAAAAAAAAAAAGAGATATTAAACTTATTAGGCTTATTTTAGATATTAAATTATATCAGAAGCATTCTCAAATAATAAGTGATGCTAAAACCTTATACTTGTTATTGATATGAGTATTCCAGAAATTGTATGAAATTGCTAAAAATCTAATATGTCCTGGTATAATAATATCAGTCATGATTCTGATTATGTTAAAATGTTGCATGTCACATAAATAATGGAATTTCTGTCAATTACATTATAATAAATTCACATAAGATTTTTTTTTTTTTTTTTGAGATGGAGTCTTGCTGGGTTGCCCAGGCTGGAATGCAATGGTGCGCCCTCGGGGGTTCCACAGCCTCTGCCTCCCAG